CTACCTTCAGTTCTCGAGAAGCTGAGCGTGACGAGCGCACGAGATGTGACTTGACACACACAGTGCACTGAGTGTATAGATCTTAGGTATGTAATACGTAGTTATGCATGTTATGTATCTATAATGTTTCTATAATGCATGCAATGTGTGTAAAGTACTGTTATGACTGTAATCTATGTATAATATACCTGCGTGTATTAGTGTATAACGTTCGAAGCTCGCGCTCGTCTAGAATTACATGTACTAGAAATTTTCTAGGTTAACAGAACTAAACATTTCTAGTGAGTCTTCAATCAATTATTTGCAAGCGCTAACATATATTAATAAGAAATCACACAATTGACGTTAAAAGAATGCAAACCCTATTAATATAAACATTTGGCATTTTTAAATTGGGCGGCAACAGGGGAATGTTGGGCGATAACAGGGGAATGTTGGGCGACAACAGGGGAATGTTGGACGACAACAGGGGAATGTTGGGCGGCAACAGGGGAATGTTGGGCGACAACAGGGGAATGTTGGGCGACAACAAGAAAATGTTGGGCGGTAACAGCGGAATGTTGGGCGACAACAGGGCGGTGTTGGGCGACAACAGGGGAATGTTGGGCGACAACAGGAGAACAAGCAGCACTAACAGAGTTGCCACTAATGGCAGACGGAGCCACTTTCCACTAATGAGAGTGGACGCCACCTGCCACTAATGGCAGGTGGCGCGTCAGGCGATGAAAGCGAAAGTGGCAGAACAGGTGTTGAAAGTTGAGTGTTGTTGTTGTTGATTGTTGTGGCAGCCATTATTATTGTTGTAGCTGCGTTTGTTGTTGCTGTTATTCTACTGATGTTGAAGCTGTTGTTGTTGCTGTTGTTCATGCTGATGTTGAATCTGTTGTTGCTGTTGTTCATGCTGTTGCTGCAGCTGCCTTTTTAGAACATTTTCTCATTTATGAACAAAATGCACTATTGTGCTCGCCATGTCCGTCCGTCCGTCTGTCCGTCCGTCTGTCCGTCCGTCCGTCTGTCCTGCCGTGACTTCACGTTTTCGTCGACGAGAAAATGCGCTCTCTGTCACTCACTGCAGTGAGTACTGAGTTATATTTTTTAATCTTGTTGCTGTTATTGTTGTAGCTGTTGCTATAGCTGCTGTTGCAGGCACAGCTACGGAGACCTCAACACGTCCTCAGGAGTTATCCAGAGTATGAACGCTGGTATGTTGCTGGGGCGAGTCAGGAGTGACTCACTCATTCAGGAGTGACTCACTCTTTCAGGATTGTGTCAGGAGTGACTCACTCATTCAGGAGTGACTCACTCTTTCAGGATTGTGTCAGGAGTGACTCACTCGTTCAGGAGTGAGTCAGGAGTGACTCACTTATTCAGGAGTGATAACAAGATGATGTCAGCTGCAATAGTCAGGCTTGGCCTGCAGCGTGTGCCCATAAACGGACATTGTTTTTAGTCTCACTGCCGCTGAAGTAGCCGCTTTACTGTGGCATCCCTGCCGCCACACTGTGGCACTGCTGTCGCCACACTGTGGCACCCTTGCCACCACACTTTGCCACATCCGCCAAACTTTGCCTTCGGCGCCGCCACATTGTGGCACGACAGTAACGCATGCAGCGTATAACGCGCCAGCGACCACCGCAAGGCTACGCGTATACGCCTGACGCCAGGGCGCGTAACCCAGCATGAAAATCATGGTCGTTTCTTAGGCGGCCAAACATAACGCATATATGTGATGCTATGTACAGTATTTAGTCATTAAATGCTATGGAAGTGATGACTATAACGGCTATACCTACTAGAAGAATTAGACATAAATATTCTATATGAGATCTATTGACTAAATTCAAGTAATAAAATTTCATCCAATACGGTAAATCAGTTAATGAAACTTGATAAATTGATGAATGTAAAACTTTTCAAGATAATGAATTCAAAAGTGAAAAGTTAAATGATTTAATAAAGCAAAGAAATTTATGAATTAAAATAAGTTAATAACTTGCCATGTGGCATGTTGGCATCGCTGCCTGAACATGAGGCAGCCATGTGGCATGTTGGCATCGCCGCCTCAACATGAGGCAGCCATGTGGCATGTTGGCATCGCCGCTTGAACATGAGGCAGCCATGTGGCATGTTGGCATGGCCGCTTGAACATGAGGTGGCCATGTGGCATGTTGGCATCGCCGCCTCAACATGAGGCTGCCATGTGGCATGTTGGCATCGCTGCCTGAACATGAGGCGGCCATGTGGCATGTTGGCATCGCTGCCTGAACATGAGGCGGCCATGTGGCATGTTGGCATCGCTGCCTCAACATGAGGCGGCCATGTGGCATGTGTTTGGCATGCCTGAGGCAGGCTGTGGGCGTGAGGCATTTCCTGGACTCGTCCTGCCGACATGGCGGTTCTCAGAAGCAAGGTTCTTATTCATGTGCTCTCAAACTTGGTTCATGTCGAGTATTAAAATTACTAAATTAGTTTCACATCTGGTACACGAACTTCGGTTCTCACATCACATTGAGCTTGAGTTTAGGTGCGTGTTTGGTTCCTGAACTTTGGTTCGTACACTGGATTCGACGTACTTGGTTCTCATTAGCAAACTTTGAATGGATTTTACAGGTCAAATAACAGCAACTTGGTTCTTAAACTCGGTTCTTCAGCTGGCAGCTGAGAACTTGCAATATTGAATGAAATTTCGCCCCAAGTTCTGAGGAATGATCTATTGGATGAGGTTTGCTCATTGGCCAGCTAATTAGTAATGGTCGGTTGATTGGTATTGGGCTATTGGCTAATGCGATTGGCGTTGTGAAATACTACCGGGATTGGCATGCACCGCCGTGGCCTTGGCCGCCCCCACTCCTTCACTCCCACTCACTCTCTGTCTCGAGTGGGAAGCTGACCGCGCCTACCTGGTTTAACAATCTAGTTCGTTAGTTCCTAGTATCACTTCGTCTGCAAAGCTTAGAATTATTCGTCAAAATTCTAGAAATTCTTGACTTAAAGTTAGAATTTCGTCTTTAGCTCAAGACTTTGTGACGGCCAGCGCCAGCGAGAAGACAAAGCTTAGTTAGTTTGTGTTCCCTTCAGCGCTGTGAACGTGGATTGGTTTTTGCATTACCAATTAATAACAAACTCCTTATTTCATAGCAGAAACAATAAAATTTTGATATCTTCTTATATCTTACCTTAAGGATGAAGAAGCAAGCAAGAGCAAACGTACAGCAGCATCTGAGCATCGCTGCGGCTGCCATCCTGAGTCACACGTCTTCCAGAAAAGCAACCTTCCAGCTAAACCTAACTACTTCACTGCACGTATAAGGGTAACGCCAGCACCACACGCCAGGTGTTTTCACGTGCCTGCTTATAACCACTGGATTAATAACAGGTTTGACCAGCACGCACACTCACTAACACATTCACTTTAAATGAAAGGTCGTCAACAGCACTGTCAAGATGGATGCCGGAGACACGACACGAGCACTCCTAACCTTACGCTGCCTACGGCGACACTGAGTGACCAACCTCTTACCTCTTGCAATCTTGCCGTTACCTGTGCAAACTTCACCCTCTCCCCACTTCCCTTGTTCACCCGAGTAGCCTTCGCCCCCCTTCCCCTAGTTACTTGAGCCTTACCCTCGCCTCCTTCCCTTAGTTACATTAGCTTTCCTCTCGCCTCCTTCTCTTAGTAGCCTTCGCCCTCTTCCCCCCTTCCATTAGTTACTCGAGCCTTCCTCTCACCTCCTTCCCTTAGTAGCCTTCGCCCTCTCTCCCCTTCTCTTAGTTACTTAACCCTTCCAATTGCCTCCTTCCCTTACTTACATTAGTAGCATTCGCCCTCTTCTCCCCTTCCCGTAATTTCCCGAGACTTCCTCTTCACTCATGACAAAGTTAATTGAGCCTTCATATCGCCTCCTTCCCTTAGTTACTTGAGCCTTCCTCTCACCTTCCTTTAGTAGCCTTCGCCCTTTCCCTTATTTAGTTGAGCCTTCCTCTCACTACCTTCAATTATTTATTGGTTTATTGTGGTAATTTCAATGAACATAAGCACTGAGCAGATTTTTCTATCACCGTCCATGTTTAAACGTATTGCAAAAATCCCACAAGCTAATCTACGAATAAAATAATTAAGAGTACAATTTAGTCCTCGGGTCTTGAGCTTTCAATATCATGGTGGGGCATTACCATCAAACCTGAGAGGTTAGGATGCGACTAGCATTGACCGTTCGCTCCAGCTCACGCTTTGCATTTAAACTCTAAACATTACCATGACATTAAACTATGGTCAGTGTGGAAAAGATCCGGTCAAATGACGCGATTTTAGATCTTCTATGAACAAGGCACGAAAAGGAAAAGAATCGGCGACAGGCCACATCAGGCCTACACTTCAGCGCCGAGATAACTATGTTATGCATGTCCTAACGCACCGCATTAGAATGCAGCACGACGACTACATCGCAAAGATCCCGGCAGAAATCAATCTTGTGAGACCCAACGAGCAGGTTTATTGGGAATTACTTGGGGTGGATGACACTTGTGACTTACGAAACTGGTCTCGTTGACGTTAGTACGAAGCATTTAAGAGGAAAAATTATTGTAATACGATGGTACTATCTTGGAACTAAAATATCCCGACAATTTATCTCAAGTGGTTCTTCCCACAGGAAGTTATAAAATTATTTGGTGCTTTTCCGTAAGCACTTTAAGTTACTAGTTTAACCCAAAACTGAATTAAAGGGTTGACCCTTGTTGTATAAACACTGTCACCAGCAGCACGACACAACCACACATCAAATATAACACTTTTGGCTGAAAAGCACTATGAATAGGTAACTATTGTGTGTCAATTCTCATCAATGGATTATATAGATCATCTGTCAATACCGAATTTGATCTCATTAACGGTTAATATTTAATAATACTGCGTTGTTTCTAAATATAACCTCAAATAATAATATTAAATATAATACTTTGGTCGTCTCCTCAGTCTTGGGGCCAATTAAACAAACTCGTTCAGTTCTCGTCATTTTTTTTAAACTTGGGAGATTCTTCCATTCATGGAAGTTTCGCAATTTCAACAATTTGTGCTGACAACATTAATACAATGAATTTTCAAAGTCAATTTTAAGAAATATGAACTTTTTCTGGACAAAAGTTAGCGCATGAAAATTTTTGACAATTTAAAAGTTTGAAAATGAATCCAAATGAATTTACTGTAATAAAGGCAAATTTCAGGGCATTTTATAGCAAGTTCGAACAGAAAATAAATCTTAAAAGCACAGGCCAACTCAGAAGTTGAATACCAAGTTGCTATTCAACTTGACATACGCGTAGCTGATGTCAATAATGAAGTTGAGGTTAAACTTGAAAGTTGGAGGCTAATATCAACTCGAAGACCTTACACCAAACTGGAAAAAAAAGTTGTATTAGTGACCATGAGTGGAGAACATTTACGAAAACAATGTTTATTACCAAATAATATTTCCACATTTCCATGGAAACATTCATTCAAAAAAGAATTAAAGACCCTAAATATACACAACGTATTTTATTATGAGGTTTTTCAAAGACAGCAAATTATATTCACATTTAATTGGATAACAATGAGAGCAGAAGCATCTCCCACCAAGAGCCTCAACCAACCCTAGGCTGTTGTGTTCGATACAAGAACTCTGACCGAAAAGTTGCTATTGTTATGAAATGAATCCGAATATATCATTTTTGGAGTAACAAGTGCTTACATGCAGCAAGCATGTAAGCAGAGGTGGGCAGCGCTACTTTGAAATGTAGCGGCCCGGCGGCCGCTACATGTAGCGCGCTACTGCCCACCTCTGCATGCAAGGACAATGAACACCTGTCGATGATGGAAAGATTGCCATTCTTATGAAATAAAAATAAAAGCAGCAATAAATAATTCAATAACGTAGAGCACCTGTCAATAAGAGCGTCACGCATGGCTGTTGATGCAGCATTTTGCGGCTTGTCTGATATCTTGAAGATGCTCTCAATGACGTTAAGTTCAGTGCCTGAAGTGCTGTACCCGCAGAACGCCTGCCAGTCGTTTACAATGAGTCCTGATGACAGCGAGCTGCTGCCTCTGTTGACTGTGCCGGCCTGCAACACGAGAATTGTTATCTCGTACAATGTTATCAATGATTACATTTTATAAATGATTGAATGCTATCAAAATTAAATGTTTTCAATATTAACTGTTGTCAATGAATAAACGCTATCAATGATTGTATTATACTCAAGCATTGACTAGATTCTGTACCTCACACCAAAAAACCCATGTCCTTCCTCATAAAGACCAGATCCTCCCTCACACACGAACCACGTCTTCCCACTCATTGACCCCACAAGGCCTCTTCAAGGCCAGCAAGAACTCGTCTGGGGTCCCCTAAGGCCTCCTAATGCCTATTGGCTCCTAAGCCTCTTCCACGCCTCCTCAAGGCCTCTTCCAGGCCCCAAAGGCCTCCTCAATGACCTTTCAAACACCCATAAGACCCCCACAAGGCCCTGCAAGGCCAACTCACGGCAATGGGGATCTGCAGGAGAGAGGAGAGTTCGTCCATGTCCTGCTTGGAGGTGGCGGGGTGCACCAGCCCTCCTTGGTTGTTGAGGACACTGTAGGTCCCCACAAGCGGGTGGTTGGCTATGGTGTGTCGGTAGACCTCAACCTGAACATAAACTTTGTGTCAATGTGGTGCTAGAATTCAGTACATTAAATCAAAGTGATAGGGAATAGAAATTGAAGATAAAAAATGTAAAATTAAACAAAAGGTAGTTAGAACTGGGCTAGAGCATTTCAACTTAAACACATCACAATGTTAAAATAGCAACGCAGAATATGAAATTTGTTCAGTAGAGAATACAAGACAAGAGATAAATATAACATGTTCAGTTTACTTTATTGCACTACCACACCTGTAAAACATCCTTAACAATATTTTCAGTCTCCTTATCCAGCTGTGGGTGCACGAGTGCTACATAGTCATTGCAGGAGATGATGTTGCCAAGAGCACTCAAGCGCTCCTCCACCCGCTGCACTGCCACCCCATCTGGCAGGTGGTCCCGTATGTGCTGCAACTCCATGTCTGTTGTCTGCCCTGGCACCAGCACACCGTGTCTGTTAGCTGTTGGAAACAAGAGCATTAGCAGTAAGCAACAGGACCATTAGTGATTGTCTGTTGTCTGTCCTAGCAACAGCACCCCTCCAACCCATGTCTGTTGGCAACAGGAGCTACTAACTTGAATACATTGTGCTCATGTACTTTGATTTATTAATTGTATTTCTGTTTGGTCCTCTAGTGCAGACTGGCCATACCCACCAACATGCAGCTTACTATCAGACTTGCCACCACCACCATGTTGCTCACCAATCAACTTCTTACAAATATGCTGCTCAATATCTTATTTCACTATGACAACGTTTCACATAATGGGAGGAACTTGTACAAACTTAACAGCCGGCCCTACCTGCCTACCTGCCACCATAGTGCCCACAATCCGACATTCTTGTATGCTGGTGTAGATGACGGGGATGTGTTCCTTGAGATGATCCTCAAGCAAACTGCAACAAGGCAACATATTAACACAAATAACAAGCTACCTGTTAGAACATGGATTTGGACCATTCTTACAATGTGAAATCATTACATTAGTTCTCAAGTTGGGATAAAGATGAAGAATTTACAGCTTGGATCTAAAACAAAATTTACTTAATACAACATTTTATTAAATATGCCTAGTACTGAATAATATATTAAATATAGGTATAAAGTGGCAAATTTGGCAATGAATTAGCTTCAGAAGATCTTAAAAATGCATTTGCCTTTAACATGTTGACTATGATTGCTTCATCTTGTACTATTATTTCATTTTTTCCGGACAAATTCCGTGATTTAGTTTTTCTCAATTGCGTTGGCCGGGTAAAATTTATGATAGGGGTACTTCCTAATTAAATTGTAAATACTGCAAAAAGAAAATAAATAGAATTTTTATGGCAGAACCTACAAATAAACTAGTAGGTATATATTGAGTTATCGGCCTTTATTGTTCTCGGAGTTGGCCGATTTTAGGCAACCTGAATTATGTACAACTACATCCTGGAGAAATACATTTCATGGTACGCATATGTACCACTTTGGAGTCAACGAGTTAAATACATCTAGAAAATAAGATTGTTGACAAATCAAGGCTACATGTAAAAATGCTCAATAATACCCACCAGGAAATTCTAGGCATGATTGCGCATATACTAAATTTTGATCAGCTGGGTCACTAGCTCAATACAAAAATAATGTGAGCATCATAGAGGAAATGTCCAGTTTCAGGTATAGTCAGATGGGGTAAGACAGGACCGAAATCACTAACAAGCCCGTAGCATCTATACCATGAATAATTAAAAAATCCTAAACCCATCACAAAGTGTATCTATGCAATGGGCTTCTAAGCTACAACTCTGACATTTTGCATCTAACATAGTTTTCTGTACAGATTAAAAAAAGTAAGCCCCAGGCTGGGGTAAGACAGGACCAACTGGTAATTCTTATCTTACATGGTTTTTAATAAAAGTACAAATCTGATATTCAATATTATCTATTTAGAAACACATTTTTTGATTAAACAACCACTTGTTACTGTTTTGTGTTGCGGGAAGTCAACTCTAATATCAGTCATATTGGAGTTTTTGTCATGAGAAAACTTTGTTAAGCATAATAAAGGTGGGTTGGCTTTGGTTCATTGTAGAGCACTGCTAAATGCGTCCTGTATATTCCATTAGTTTCATTGTCTGAAAAATTTTAAAAATTGGTAATAAAACCAATGGATAATAACTTAAGTGTCAGACATCATGTGTTTTCTTGCTAACTGCATTTGTGGTGCACTTCTTCAAACATAGCTCATGCCCTCTCACAGAGTTGTGATCATAATTATTTTTCATGTATCACACAATGATTTTTCCCCCAGCCAATCTTGCACATAGTTCTGCAGGTCAATAATTTGAAGTGACATCCCTATTTTCTCCATCCCTTTGATGCAATTTAAAATAGTGCACTAAATTTCTCTAATTAAAAGAGCTAACAAGTTGCAATGAAGTTTGAGCCAAAGATAAAAATTTTGACCAAAATACTCCATGTACTGACTGCACAATAATTTTCTATATTCATTTAAAAACTATTTTTGATAAAATGTAGGGTAATAGAGGACCATTTGTGGGGAAAGACAGGACCATTTGTGGGGCAAAATAGGACTGCTTGTGGGGTAAAACAGGATCATTTAGTGGTCCCATCTTACCCCATGTCCAGTCCTTTTTTACCCCATTTTAGAATACATGTCAGGCAGTGATGGCAGCAGGTAGGAATTCCTAGTACAGCAATCCCTTGATTAGCACGGTTTTGAATACCGTACCGCGGTTTTGATCAACAAGGAAAAAAAATTAGCGACCTACCCTTAATCTACGCAGTGCCAGTTTTGATTAGCGCGACTTTTTTTTCACAATGCATCATTTTCCCGCCTCTAGCCAGAGGTGTTACGTTTGTAACAAAAGTGTTACTTTTTGCTTATTAGATCTTATGTTGTTACTGTTGTTACGACTTTTGGAAAAATTTGCCAAATGTTGTTACTTTATGAATTTCAGCCAATAATTCTTTAAATAAGGTTCCGTTCCGTAGGCACTCGTGCTGACTACAGAGTCGGTTTAACCGCGCCTTGTCTCGTTCATAACTCGAATGGTCGAGTTCGGCAATTTTTGCCGGTAAGTGCGCCATGCCAGTGCTCTAGTTACTTGTTAGCCTTCAACTGGTCAAGATCGCTGCCATATCTACTGCTCACTTTTATCAAACTACATAATTTTCCTTGATAAATTACCGTCATAATTATGGACAAAAAGGGAATGCTTAAACGTAAAAATATCACTTTGGAGACTAATCTTGAATGATGAATTGAACTAAGCAAAATATGATGAATTTTAGTGGAAAAAAATTATTATGTAACTTTGCTTTTTTTGAGGATTCATTATAACTTTGGGGGTTGGCTTTGCTGGGGGGGGTTGCAAGGAAATGGCTGCCATTTTTTTTGGAATGAAATAGGCAAATTCTGTCGATTATGTTTTCAAGCCGACACCTGGGTGCAACTTTTATGTAAGTAAAATTTGTCAATACGGCAAATATTTTTTTTGCTCCGGACCTTAGCAGAGGTACTTTTCCAAAATTGCACTTTTCACACTTTTTTTCAGCAATTTTTTAGAGATAGTAAATGCTTGATTTCTTGACTAGCTTTATACATAATAGATAGTAAAACTGTTGAAGTTTATGCCACTATTTTTAGTTTTGCAATATTTTGATTAGTTTAGCTGCTACAACATTTCTATGAAATGTGGGACGCTCATCCCTATTTACCCCGCCTGTCCCTTTTTACCCCGTTTGACGGTTATTGGATTAGCTAATTTCATATTGCAAACCCCCTTCATCTCTTTTTAATTTTTTCTTGCAATGGATATGTAGATTTCACAGTTTTTTTTAGCTCACTTAGGGTGCCAAATCTATGAAACTGAAATTCATTCTGTTCAATTCTGCATTTTGCTTAATTTATACCATTCATATCTATCAGTCACACCCATTTCCATTTTCCTCTATGCATGGCCTACCTGCAGTCAGGCATGAAATATAACTACTTGGCAAGCCGCGACTGGATTTTTTGAGCCGTGGTTTTATGGGTTTGCCAGCTGTGATTCCATTTCTTGGGCCGTGAAAAGCCGTTTACGAGCCATAAACTTATTATTTACAAAATCAGAAAATCCCATGCACGTGTTATCCCAAATCTCTAATTTTACCCTAAAACAGTCAAACAGCAACAATAACCTTTGTCTTTACTGTGAGCTGAACATGTGTTAATGCAGTCTGATGTGCGTGACTGCCATAGTGACAAACCAAAGATTTTTCAGAATTAGTTCATTTTTAATTTCCTTATTTATTCAAGATTTAAACCAATTTCTTATGTATGATAATGCTGGTATCCATGAATCCATGATACTTTGCTGGTCTACCTATACTATAGGACTCAAAAATGAACTTGAGGCAGAGTCTAAAAAACTCTCAGCTTTGCCACTATGCATAGTGACAAACCAGAGATTTTTTAGAATCAGGTAATTTTTAATTTCCTCATTTACCCAAGATTTAAATCAATTTCTCATGTATGATAATGCTGGTATCCAGGATACTTTACTGGTCTACTTAGAAGTTAGAGGACTCAAAAATGAACTTGAGGGAGAGTCTAAAAAGCTCTCTGCTTTGCCACTATGCCACTATGGTGCCTGCAACTTTGTGCGATCTTCAACAAAACCTTTAGGTTAACTTGTTTACATTACAATAATTATGTTCTGCAGGATCTTTTACGGGAATGGTTAAGTAATGCAGATTGCGGAAGTGGAAAATTATATGAAATGACATGTTTACAAAGTGCAAACCGCAATTTTTTCAATCAAACAAAAATTTATGATATTCAAGCCACAAGATTTCATACCTACTGAAATTATATGATATGAAGCCAAGATATTTCAGAAAAAAATAGGACTTTTCCAGCCCTGCCTGCAGGGTTGGCAATGATTAAATCAAAATGATTAAATCATGTGATTAAATCACTTGATTTTTTTATAAAAAAATCATGATTTTTTTCATTTTTTCGATTTTTTTGATTTTTTCATATAATTAAATATATTGAGTGGCAGTCTTTAATTTATATTGAGGTATTGTTATTCATGGTTTAGTATAAATGTACTATAAGTGACAAATTTGTATATAACCTTGTTGCCTTTAGTGTGTATGATTTTTTTAAAAAAATCAAAAAAATCGCCAACCCTGCCTGCCTGCAGTCAAAGTCTCATTGACTAACAAAATGTCTTATTACAGTTAGAAATTTTGAAATTAGAATAGTTAGCCTACAAACAGAGCTTTCTAAATTCTAATGGTTCTAAAATCTTTTAAATTGTCTCTCAGGAAACCTGTAAATGATAAGATTTTCCAAAAAAAAAGAGCCAAAAATTGCTCCATTATTGAGAAGTTAGTTGCTAAACTGTTAAAGGAAACAATTTGTAATTTTTTCTCTTTCAATTTTAATTGTATTTGCTTTTATTTAAATGGTATTTTTTCCTCTATTCAGCCAAATACCTAATTTTCATTAGGACCAAAGGAAAACTTGTTTTTGTGCACTGTTGCACACTGCACAATGACACTGCTTGTTTGTTGACAAATCCATGCTTACAAGTTACAACTGAGAAGTTGGATTAGATCGAGATCACATGAATTTGAAATTCAATAATAACTGGATCACATCATCTAGTTAGGTTAGGCTAACACTAGGTTGCAATAGAGATAGTGGCCCACCTGTAGTAATTTGAAGCTGAACCCAGCCCCACAAGGCAATATGTGTTGGTGAGCTTGGTAAAGACGCCTATCTCATTGCAGCTTTCGTACTGACAACGCACTGCCATGATTGATAAATTTATTCAAATAAGTTATGATTGTTGGAAAAAAGTATTCGCTTATATCTTAGTTGTCGAATTGAAAGAAATTCAGGGATGTCTTTCGCGCAACGTTCCACAACTTGTAAGTATTCCACTCACCGAAGTTCCGAACCTTCGTAAACACTAAGTCTGCGAAGATTGCCATTCAGACATGACTTCGATTTATTCTTTTCTGTCACTGTTAAAAAAAATATTACCTCCTGGGGTATTGTCCTAATATTTTTTACTATTGCTACTAATTTCCATTTGATAATGGAGTTAATGAGTTATTTATAAGGATAAAATTTACTAAATATAAAGTGCTCTAAATTATAATTTGACTCAAGGGCTCTGAAGTTTGTTTCAAACCATGTCACAGAAATATGACCCCATTAAAACAAACGCACTTATTATAACGGTTACATCCTAACATATACAATTGTTCAGAAACAAAATTTATCGGTAAATTCTACTGAAGAATGTGAAACATGAGTTTATTAAGAATTCCAACAAAAAATAAGAAAATTCCCGTACATCAGAAAATCATTCCTTATCACAGAATATAACCACTAACGGAGATTCATTGAGCAATGTTTGCTAATAACATTATTTAAAGGTTTGAAGCACAAGTTTGGAAGAATTGTGAAATTACTGAGTCCATAATTGAGAGGATCTATTGCTGGCCGTGCCAAGTTCTTGAAGGTTGAGTCCTTCAGTGCACATGCAACCCTATCGGCGTGTGGTGATAGACGTTGACGTTCTTTGCTCCTGCGTCGTTTGTGCCGTATGTGCTAAGAATTTTCATCAAATTTTAGCAATCGTACCTCAATATTTCTGTAGAAATCTGTTTGTTTCGTTTATATAAACTTTAATATCATGATTATTTGTAGAAGGGAATGTAAAAAGTCAAATACTGGAAGTTCCTGTGAGTGGACGATTTACCACAGGCTATTCACGGTAACCGGATTCCAGAAAACATGTGCCACGCTTCCAGTCATTAGCTAATTCCTGGACAATTTAGGCCTTTTTCCTTGAATGAAATGACGTGCAGACTAATCATCCATTATAGCAAACCTGAACTACCCTCTGTATGGCCAAATCATGGTCGTGATGGTTAGGGCAGCTTGGAACCTGCGATACGCGCCCAACTTGCGCTTAGCCCGACACTTACGATACGATGGTTGTGAACCCTGCGTTTGAGATGATATTGTCACTGACGATGATATTGTCACTGACGATATTGTCGCTGACGATGGTATTGTCACTGATGATGATATTGTCACTGACAATGATATTGTCACTGACGATATTGTCGCTGACGATGGTATTGTCACTGATGATGATATTGTCACTGACGATATTGTCGCTGACGATGATATTGTCACTGACGATATTGTCACTGATGATGATATTGTCACTGATGATGATATTGTCACTGACGATGATATTGTCACTGATGATGATCTCATAATTTCGGTGACGCTGCTAAAGGCTACGCTAATTCCCGATCATCCTACATTATACGATCATCGTACACTATACGATCATCGTGTTTATTTCCGTAACTGAACTCTGATAATCTCGTGCCCGTTGACCTTCAGAACCAACCTGCCCCATGTTAACCATCTCACGTGTGTTGAATTAACCCTTCACATCTAAAAAATGCATTGATTTTGCTTGTCCTGTTGAAATCCATGTTAAACCTACCATATCCATGCTAAACCCAGCAAACCCATGTTAAACATATGTACCAATCCCGTGTTAAAACCACCGAACACATGTTAAACCTACCAAACCCAGGTTAAACCCACTAAATCCACGTTTAATCTACCAAACCCATGTTAAATCTGCGAGTTAGAAATGGTAGGTAATTACAAAATTTTGTTAATATTTAATCTTTCAGAAGACAGAAGACGTAAACAAATGTCGCTCAAACGAGGCGCGGGTTGTTTACACGCGCACATGAGGGTTGCCGCGGCGCTACTCAAGTTTCGAAAGTTACGTCAGTCGTAAGTTCTTACGACATCGCCGATGAAAGCTGACAGCCTCTTATAACCTGATCATCGTCGGCCAACTATATAGCGTCCAGGTCACTCAGAAATGTGACGGTAATTGTTTTGGATTGTCCTAATTGTGACCCAATTTTATACTTGGTTACAGCACGATCAGTGAGCGAACGAAGCTTTGAGCATCGTTTTTTGGACAAGCCTCTGTCATTTATGAGTGGCATGAGCCGCTTAGCATATTACGGAGGAAGAAATGGCTTTAATTATTTTGGGCAACCACAAGTATTGTAATGGAGGGCATTAAGACTACTTATTTCAATTAAATAGTAACCGGAAATACATTGCAATGTGGCGGACGGCTGGCCACCCTTAGTTCGACCATAATTGTCAATGGGGGACATCGTGGGAAGTTACCCTGAACTGCCTTAAATTTCCCCCGTCTTATGGCATCCCGGATAAAAATTTGTAGGGGAATTTCCCGGCGTCAACCTGAAGAAGTAGACGTCCGGGGAACTATTTGTTATTAACTAATGCATAAATTTTGTATTATTAGTTCAAATAATTGTAGAATTCATAATAATTGTTGAGTACAACATGCTAGTGACGATCAGACTTGCTACCGCCGCCTTGAGTTGCGACCTTGCGAGGCCCCACCGGAAACTCCCAAGGTCCTTAGCGTCCCCTTAGCGTCCCCTTAGCTTGACATTAGCGTCCCCTTAGTGTCCTCTTAGTGTGACCTTAGCGTCCCCTTACTGTCCTCTTATTGTACCCTTAGTGTACCTTTAGTGTCTTCTTAGCGTCCCCTTAATTTAGCGCACTCCTAGCGTCCTCTTAAGGTCCCCTTAGCGTCTCCCTAGCATCCCCATATCATAGCGTCCCATTAGTGTCTTCTAAGCGTCCTCTCAGCATGATGTCTCCTTAGTGTCACCTTAGCGTCTCATTAGCGTCCCTTTAGTGTTTCCTTAGCGTCTTCCTTACGTCCCCTTAGCGCTGTGTCCCCTTAGCGTGTATTTTATGTCTCCTTTGCGTCCCGTTAGCGTTCTATTAGCGTAAAATACGTCTGATGCGGCGAAGATACGTGCACAATACAGCGAGGATACGTGCACAATACAGCGAGGATACGTGCACAATACAGCTATTATTATATGCGTGCTACGAATAATATTATTATATGCGTGCTACGAATAATATTATTATATGCGTGCTACGAATAATATTATTATATGCGTGCTGCGAATAATATTATTATATGCGTGCTACGAATATTATTATTATTTGTATGATATAAATATATTATTATTTGCGTGCTACGAATAATATTATTTTCGTTATATCAGCAGAAATAAGTTCCATATCCCCGTACATAATGCCCCAGTTTATCGCATCCCATATACCAGTTACCATTCATGTACTTATCCGGGATAAGTAAATGAAACCACCGCTAAGGTTGCTCGTGCAAATGATTACTATACAGCCTTTAAGAGTATACAAATGTGTTATTTGAATTATTGCATCATTACAATAACTTTTTTCTTCGTGTTCTGATTAGAGTTTGCTGATTGCTGAACTTGGACTTCAACTAAGAAAATATCGTAGAGCATTGAAACTGTGAAGCATAGAGATTAACTCATTTCCTACGTGCACTGGAACAATAATATTCATACAGAATGAGATTGTGTAGGCTCTGTGTGTTTTGTGTGGTTATGTGTAAGAAGCTCACCTGATACACGTGACAACATGGCAACCCTGAGTGAGTATGGTTGTTCTAGTACATAATTAATGGATTAATTATAACACCAATATACTAATTAAGAGTTATATATTTGGATTAGCGCATAGAAAATGCGTGTTATTCATTAAATTTAATGTTAGTTACTCGGTGATAAATAATGTTAGTTATGTCATAGTAGACATTTTGTATGTACTGGAAAAATGGAATGGTTAACATAATCAAATCATAGCCGTATTTCCGGAGGCCACTCTAATGGCCTCAATGGACCTAGTCTTATGCATACATAACATAGGGAACTCGAGTGGACGGGGTTCAGCCCCGCGCTCAATGCGGCCTTTGAACCCGGGGTTTGTATTAGCAACAAACTGTTTTTCAAGTACAATTTCCTGCTCATGATAAATCTTCCTTGTGCGTTGCTTCAGAAAATCCGGCAATAATGAAGGTATTTTACCGTGGGGAAATTCCGTGCTTAAGACTCCTGTTCAGTGAAGGTCCTACTCCGCGTTAAGCAAGGTACGACAACGTGGGTGAATTTCCTGGCTAAGATCAGACGGCAGCAAGTGGCCGCCTGAACTACGTCTGGCGGTGAAATAAGAATAGATATATTTTCTTCACATGCATCCATGCCCGTCGTGAAGGGAATGGTAAAGTTTAGACTGAAACGTCGGTCTCTACGTCTGCCAATGGATTATGTTTAGTTTTTTCGTTGCCCTTCACGATGGGAAAGGAAAGTAGGAGTTATGACGGCAGCGTTTGGCCGTATTCCTTCCCTTCTTGCTCAAATGAAGGGAAAGGTTGTTTATACCGCAGCGTTTAGACGGCAGCGTCTAGCCGTCTTATACGGTGAAGTGGGTAATGACCTTCCTTGTCCCTTCCCTTCATACTCTTCATGCAGGGAAGGGAGGGGGAGATGGGGTGCTACTCATTCTGATGGCGCTGGAGTGTTGGAGTGAGATTTATGTTTTGTTGTGATTATGAATGAGCGGCACTAATGAATTGTGTTGTGGAATATGAATGAGTGGCACAAATGAATTGTGCGGTGGAATATGAATGAGTGGCACTAATGAATTATGCTGTGGAATATGAATGAGTTGCACTACTGAATTGTGTTGTGGAATATGAATGAGTGGCACAAATGAATTGTGCTGTGGAATATGAATGAGTGGCACTAATGAATTGTGTTGTGGAATATGAATGAGTTGCACTACTGAATTATGCTGTNATGCACAGGCTTGGTTTCGTGCAACATTCACGATGCAAGTGTGTATGTTAAGTGTTAGTTGACATTATTAGGGTTTGGTGATCTCCTAACTGCCGGAACTGCGGACGCAGATACGTCATCCGCACTTTTGAGTGTAGACATCCGCATGTGCTGTGCGCTGTGCAAATGCTGGGCGCTGTGCATGTGCTGTGCATATGCTATGCACTGTGCATATGCTATGCGCTGTGAAGCATTCACATTGTACTTTATTATTAATTTTTCTTAAATTTCGGCTCCGATTGTTCGCTCTGAACCTCCTGCTTGCCTCCGTAACTCATCAGTTATCGGATTGACACGAATATACTCGTAAAAAAATCCATTATTTCCATCAGAAACTTTCGGCAAACGACTTGCATGCAAGTCAACAGAATGCAAGAGTCAACAAACAAGATAATTCAATGCAATTCATCCCGACGCACAAATATAAAGCTATGGAAGTTATCACCCATGAAGTCATCCTCACGTCCTGTCAAGGATGAGCCCAGGAATCACCAGTCGGCATCCTGTGTCGATAACAACGTCTCTGATAACATGGCTTGTGTCCTTTACGTACGCATTATCGTATCGGGTTAGCGAATAAATGATTAGTTTAATTATCTATTGTGAGCAAATTGCTTGTGGAAGATTAATACAAAGATAATCAGCGTATGAAATGGCAATGCTCAAATGTATGCCCGAATAATAAATTATTAATAAAATCGAAGCCACAAATAATATCAAAGTTACCTGTACGAATTACGTAAACTTGTTAAGTTTCGGCGTGCCGCGAGGTTCCGTGTTTAGTTGGCGTGACGTCATCAAAACAAACGAAGCGGGTGCCGCTATTCACGCTCGTGGAAAGAACACAATTATTAAATAATCGGAGGCGCATCGTCGGCCAACCAGTGGCCGCTGGTCAAGCCCTTTATTTACCTCATAATAAATGGGGGGCGTGGTAAGCGACGACGGCTTGTTTGTTTACCAACTTTAGATGAGGGGGACGCTAGCCCCCTTTTGCATCCTGATGCCCCCCTGTTGCCAGCTGTTTAAAAATGGCTGTAAAGAGCTCTGGTAACAGACGTGGTAACAGAAACATGCCGCTGTGTAAAAAACGTGTTATTGTTTATGTATCATGCTGGTTTTTAAATAATATATAATAGTATTAATAAAAATCTAAAGGCTTTATCTATAATTGGACGATTAGTAAAACAATTATTAATAAGAAGGGCACTACGTCTTAGAGATAATTGTAGCGGTAGCGCTGTAGCGGCAAAACCTCGTATCGCTACTTTAATATGTAGCGGGCGCTACCGCTACCGCTACCGCTACATTGCCTTAAATGTAGCACCGCTACCGCTACATGTAGCGCGCTACTGCCCACCTCTGTGCAGTGTATATCATCTAGATATATGTGAATGGCAGCGTATGATAAGACATACACACAAGCACGCAAGTGTTCCGTTCGTCTATACATATTATTCACTTACAATAGTCCATGCATGTGAAACACCTGCTCAGAACCGTCCGAGTGAGGGACGAAGATGTAAACGAGGTTTGATTTGGAATGCGATCCAATTTCCTTCTTACTCATGACCCCCTTCAGAGTCCAGCTATCTTCTCTTTCTCAAAAGCAATTTCCGTTGCCCTCAACTAGCTTTTATTCATATGGAGTTAATAAGTTTTGCTCAGTGTTTCTGACTTCAATGTTCCTTCTTATGAACTTGCTGATCTGACATTTAAACCTGGAGCTGAAATATAAAAGATCGCCTAAATTTCCGTGACGGTATAAGTACACGTGGCGACCTAAGTACACGTAGCAGCCTAAGTACACGAAGCGACCTAAGTACACGTAGCAGCCTAAGTACACGAAGCGACCTAAGTACAAGTAGCAACCTAAGTACACGAAGCGACCTAAGTACAAGTAGCAACCTTAGTACACATAGCGGCCTAAGTACACGTAGCGGCCTGTATACGAGAAGTTGCCGATATCTCGGCAACTTCCTTGCCGAGAAATCGGCAAGGATTTGATTTGTGGGTTTGGCTTGAAAGGCTGTCAGTGATTGTCTGACGGAGTTACAAACACGTAACTACTTGCGATCGTACGATCCCTGCATGCTTACTCGCATTGAGTTTACATGTGAAGCTGAAGAGTTTTTTTATCTGTCGCAGCCCCCAAGGTGTCGGGGGACAGCACCGGCACCCCTACACTCGGAGACTACCCCCATAACCCCCTCCTCCAGCGACTTATGAAGGCGGTCGAAAACAGGTATCTTGCATACTAATTCTTTTTTAAATGCTGAATTAATATGACCATGGCAATAAATGAAAATGAAAACTATCATCGGTATTCGAAACCGTCGTAACTGCTGCACCTCTTCCTTCTCCCTCAGGAACATGGCAGACATGCTCGCCCTCCTGCAGGCGGGGGTGAAGGTCAATCACCACGAAGGATCCTTCTCTGAGACCGCCCTGCATAAAGCTGTTATGGTGGGGGTGCCAGATGTGCGATGTTGTTGAATTCTCCAGTCGTGCAGTCTCTTGTGAGGTGTTATATAGATGTGCGGTATCGAGGGTGCCAGGTGAGCGATGTTATTGATGTGCTGTATTGCGAAGGTGCCAGATGAGCGATGTTATTATAATTGTCAGATGTGCAGTATTACGAGGCTGCCAGATGCACTGTGCCTTGAGAGGGAAGATACCAAATGTGTGATGCTGCACTTAACCGTATCGATTTCTTCCATAGCCTACCTGATGGACAGACGTTTCTTACGCAACTCAAGAACTCAAAATGAACTTTAACTGAATAATGCCATCACATCTCTACTTATACTCCCCATCTTTCCCACCCCCAGATCTCGTGGGAGGAAGGGGTGCAGGCCCTGCTGGGGGCGGGTGCCCGCGTCTTCACCAAGAATCAGTTTGGTCAGACGCCCCTGCACTACGCGGCCTGCGCACGGTCCGTCGAGTGTACGCGCCTCCTGCTGCTGCACGATCAGGCACATGCGACCGTGCGCAAAGACCTCAATCCTACAGCTAAGGACCTCAATTCTGTGGGGAATAACCTCAAGACCTCACGCAAAGACTTCATTTCTAAGCGCAAGGACCTCGGGACCTCGCGCAAGGACCGCGGGCTCGTCAGTTCAGCGCGGGCAAGCGTCGTGAACCACAAAGACATGCGCGGACGAACAGCTCTGCACGACGCCTCCGAGCAGGCGTGTGTTGAGATCATCAAGATGCTGCTGGACTCCCACGCCATTGTTGATATTAAAGATAATGAGCAAGAGACGCCGCTCTATAAGGTGTGTTGCTGTTGATATTAAAGATAATCTATAAGGAAAATTCTTATTAAAAGCATTTTGAATTTCTGCAAGTCAGCAAAGGGCCTACACGGGAGCTCTCAATTGCCTTTAGGTGCAATCTGTGAATAACTACTAGTTATTTTTTTTAGCTCATTCAAGGGACCGATGAAGTGCCAATTAGAGGTCTATAAGTGGCTATATAGGACCTCTAAAGGGGGCTACAAGTGTTCCATCTAGGATCTATAAAGGGGGCCTATAAGTGGTCTAAATAGTACCTATATAGGGGCCTATTAGTGTTCTATATACGTAGGACATATAAAGGGGTCTATAAGAGGTCTATATAGAAGCCATGAAGGGGTCTATAAGTGGTCTATATGACATAATAATATACGCTTAAAAATTACTTTTTAAAGACAACACTTCTAAAGAATTTAGTGTCTCCAATGTTAAAGATGTACAATGAATTTCTCATTTTATTTTCGAAAATTAAAAAAATCAATTTTTTTAAATTTTTTTAATATATAAAATTTTTTCAAAATTATTTATTCTGTCAATCGATTCTTGCATTGCCTCCGACTTCACACAAGTATGCAAAATTTCAGATCAATTGGACAGGTGGAAGTGTCTTAAATATCGATTATAAGATTTGTGGCAGACAAACAAACAAACAAACAACAAGAAGTGAAGTTAAAGAGAAGTGTTGTGAAAAGCGGCATAAAAGAGGCATATAGGAAACTCATAAAGATCCTGTCTAGGACTTGATGAGATACTCATAAGTCATAAGAGACCCGTCAGGAACTTACGAGGGACTTAACGTCGCCCTGTGTCCCCGCCCCAGGCCGCTAAGGCGTGCGCGGTGCCGGCGATGCTGGCGCTGCTGGACGGCGGGGCGAGCCTCACCGCCCCCACCACAATCGCTGACGCTGACAGCGTCCTTACCTACGCCCTCAGGTGAGGCGGGGAGGGGTCCACCTACGCCCTCAGGTGAGGCGGGGAGATCGAGGTCCTCTCCTACGCTCTCAGGTGAGGCGGGGAGGGGTCCTCACCTACGCCCTCAGGTGAGGCGGGGAGAGGTCCTCTCCTACGCTCTCAGGTGAGGCGGGGAGGGGTAAAATGGAGGCGGGTCTTTCGCGAGTGAGTGCGTGGGTCTAGGACCGAGCGGAAGGAGTTGGGAACATGAGAAAATTGTATAATTTACACAATTTAACACCTACCCATTTGGAAATTTTTTAATACCGTTTTCTTTTGTTGTACGTGTAATCTATATATCTCAGCGTGAATTCCTTTTGAAATTTCAAAATTGAAAATTGTTTTTTTTTTCGCCCCCAGACACATGCCAGGAGGCATGGAGGCGCTGTTTGACAGCTGCCTCCTCACCAACACCTCCAATTTCAACTCGAAGACGTTGGAGGTGAAGTTCAACTTCACCCCGTGTATCAGCACCAATGAGAAGAATCAGATGAAATGTCTGTGGCAGATTGTTGAATTCGGTCACGCGAAGCTGTTGAAACACCCACTTTGTGAGACGTTTCTGCTTATGAAGTGGTTCAAAGTGAAGAAATTCTTCTACGTACAGTTCATGTATTACTTTTTGTATGCTATTCTTACCACACTCCTCACGTTCGACAAGTTCCTAGAAAAAGAATGTCCACGGGAAGACTTCGTTATCAATACCAATATAAGCAGTGCAAACGATGAGAACTATTACAGTTTAGTCAACGCAAACTTAACAGACAACAACAACGAATCCAAAATACTCCCTGAAGAGGTGCGGCTAATGTTATTGAGTGTGGTGTTGGTTCAAGCCATAATAGTGTTGTTCTCGCTAGTCCTGTCATTAATATACACTTTCACGAGCTTCAAGTTTTCGCTATGGAACGTCCTGCACGCGGTGATAGCGCTTCTGGTATTCCTGGTACTACCATTCGACTCCCTCGCTACCAGGTACTGGCAGCAGCACCTTGCCGCCGTCCTCCAGTTGGTACTGTGGACCCAGTGTATGTTGCTGGTAGGGCAAATACCTGCATGTGGTATCTACGTGGTAATGTTCGCGCGGGTAGCCGGGGTATTCGTGCGCATTTTCGCTGTGTACTTCAGCCTGCTGCTCGCGTTCACGTTCTCATTCCACATTTCTGAACACGTTCATGGCGTTTCATGCGCCACGATCTTGGACGTTTATCAGACGTTCCTCAAAACACTGACGATGATGCTGGGCGAGCTCGACTACTCCAAGGAGTTGGTGATACAGCTCAGCTATTTACCCTTCACGTCGCACATCATCTTCCTGACGTTCATCATTCTCGTGGCCATCATCTTGTCCAACCTCCTCGTCGCTCTCGCCGTCAACGACGTTCAGGTGATAAGACAGCGTTGTCGACTGCCTTATCTGTTGACACAATGTCTCCTGCGCATGGCTAAACTCTTGCTGTCTTGAAAATAGTGAATCTGTTCTCCTATTTCCCTCAACACACTTGTCTCTTGATGTTTCATTACTTGATTATTGCCTCATCCTGACTGCTAATATAAGCTTGAAATAAAAATTCTTATTTTAAACATTGGATTTTGTTTTGCCACCATAAGTTTGACCACATGTTCACCACACATATTTACCCCCATGTTCAGCACACATATTTACCTCCATGTTCACCACACATATTTACCCCCATGTTCTCCAGAGCCTGCGCAACTCCGCTCTCCTGGAGCGGCTCATCAAGCAGATGGAGTTGGTGTTCGAGATGGAGCAGAGCTTCTACGGCATCTCTTACCTGCTCCGCCAGCTCAGACTGCACAGGTGAGTCTTCTTAATTAGTTCCTTATTTCACTAACTAACTTGTTTCTTAAGGCGCTTATATTAACCAATATTAAGCATAGCCCATTCTTCATTGATCAAATCTCTATGCTGTTAAATTAACTAATCTTGAGCATACAAAATTCTGGATCGGGCATCCGTCTTTTCTCACCAAAAGATGATGAGCAAAGTCATATAAATTTCAACAGTTTTAGGGAAGATTTTTATTTGCAAGTTTATTGAGGAGTTCAATATTACAAATCACATCGTAATTCAATATCGTGAATTTTGCGATCCTACCTTGGATCCCATTTTCATACCAGAGTCCTAACCCTCATGTCGTGAACTCCAGGATCTCCAAGTACCCTCTGCACGCGACTTTCTACGACCACAAGCTTACGTCTGTCTCCATGAAGCCTTACGATCCTCGTAAGGTATGCCGTAACTTGTCTACTACTCTAACTTCTTTCATCTTCCATGAATTGCCGATGCCTCGGCTTTGATTTCTAATTGGGTACTGGCCGTCTGTTACGTTTAAGTTTCTTTCAACCTGTAATGTCTGAATTTCTGGCCACAAAAGTACAAAAACTGCAACACAACGCGCCATGCTTCCACAAACCACAACAGTGGCGCATGCAGGAGGCTATATTTATCAAATTTCACACATCACTTCATGTTTCTTTATATGGCTAAGCACGCTATAAGGGCGTAGCAGCCGATTAAGTCAACTGCTTAAAGCCCTATCAACGTACGTCTACAGCTACTTCCTAAGAATGCTTCCGGCTCAGGTTAGGCTTAGGTCTGGTCCAGGTGTCGAAACAGCAGGCTCAACCGGCTCAGGTTAGGCTTAGGTCTGGTCCAGGTGTCGAAACAGTAGGCTCAACCGGCTCAGGTTAGGCTTAGGTCTGGTCCAGGTGTCAGAACAGCAGGCTCAACTGGCTCAGGTTAGGCTTAGGTCTGGTCCAGGTGTCAGAACAGCAGGCTCAACCAGCTCAGGTGAGGCTTAGGTCTGGTCCAGGTGTCGGAACGGCAGGCTCAATCGGCTCAGTTGAGGCTGTGAGTAAAATATAAAGATTTTCCACCTTTCTTGCTATCTGGAAACATAACCTAATATTGTGTTACTAATGTCCTTCTTATTGATATTTCTCGTGCTTATTGTAGGTCTCAATGATGATTGTTGCGATTGTTGAGCTGATGGTTATTGTTGCTACAGGTCGACCGAGTACAACAACAACGAGGACCTGAAAGACTGCCTCAAACACCTCGAGTCGAACATCACCGACGCTGTTTGTGACCGCCTCAGTGAGGTGAGTCAAGTATTTCCCTCATGTTTGCAAACAAACTTAATATTTTTCGCTTGAAGACACTAGTTTTGTGTTAACTTTCATTCGTGATTTCACACTTTTGTCGCAGTGCCCTATTGGTCGCAGTCGCAATAACAAAATTATTGACACACGTCACCTCGGATGAGCTTTTCTATTCTTCTTATAACTTGTATCGGCATTAAAATAACCAGTAACTGTGAAGATCGTATAAATTTTATCATTCTATATGTTATTTATTTAAGTTCGTTAAACGAAACATGGACACAGAAAATGAAGCGAAGTTGCGGACACAAGCGTCTAGCTCCTCACTCCATGAATGCAGATTGCGTACTGGAGCTCTAGTCTTAAGGCTGGTAGTCGGAGTGCGGCAAAGCCTGAGAGCGAAGTATTCGCGACCATCGTATGAAATCCTCGATCTGCTTTAATTAAGCTCGGCTAGTCGCTACCCTCGAGCTTGTATTCTTAGTGATATGATATCTTAGCCAGCAGTTATAGGGCTAGGTCACTAGGCCGACCATTGGCCACGTATTTATTCCTCGCCCCTTCTTGAGTTTAACTTCACCGTGCCGCCCGTCGCCTTCACCGTACCGACTGACAGCTCAGAGATTTGCGACGTCTCTTTCCCCTCATGCCTTCCACAAAGCCTTCATCGGTTAATATACGGGATCCTACCTCAACGTATCAGTATGCTCGATCATAACTGATTCTTGGTAGATAATATCCACAACAAGGAGGCTGATCAAGAAATGCCGAGTATACCATTCAATGGAGAATAAAATTATAACCCGTTGACATCTCGAAAAAAGTGCAAAAGTTGCAGACTTGATGAACATTAATATTCAAAGTTTCTTTAAATTACCTTCATCATAACTCTCTTAATACATAATTTACAGATTTTTTGTCACTGTCCACCGTTTGTAAATAATTAGCTGGGTAAACATGGAAATTTTCATATCGCCATCTCATTTTCGAGTGTAGTAAAGTTCAGCCTAATTTGTTAAAAACTCGTAGGGAAAAGCAGAGCCTGTTTGCAGCCTAGCGGTTTTCAATCAGAGCCTTGAGTCTAAACTCTAAATGCTGCTCACAGCCCTGTTCTGCCCCCCCCCCTCCGTTCTGACGTCATCCCATCTCCCCCCCGCAGGTGGTGACCGCGACGGGGGCGCTAGCGTCGCGCGTGCGGGCGCTGGAGGGCGAGCTGCGCATCCTGCGCCGCGCCCTCGCCCCCACCGACGCCCCCCGTCTCCCCCGCCATGTCCTGGCCCCCCACTTCCTCGCCCACTCAGCCTCCGCCAACGGAGGTACCGCTTGATAATAATAATTAATATTCTCAGGCATCAGAAGAAGTATTCGATCGGATTTGCTTGTAATTTTTCCTCGTTTTACGAATTTTGATAATTGTTGTTATTGCGCATTTCGATGAATTCATTACACTTGGATTTAAATAAAATACCTTTTATAGCATCAGACATCAGACGTACAGCATCTGACTGTAAAAATTGCATTCTTCAACCATTCCCCCTTATGGAGGCTGTAAACGCCTCATTCAATTGGGAATATTTGAAATGTTTTTCTAGAATCATTTTGCGCTTTTCACATTTTCCCAGGCGGGGCCTTAAGTCGGGACAGTTCTCCCTCTGAGGCCGATGAGCAGCCTCCCCAGCTCCCCAGAGGGCGGTCCCCCCAACCCCCCAGAGGACGGTCTCCCCAACCCCGTCTTGAGGGTAGACTTCTGAATGTGGCGCCCGGGAGCCAAAGTCTGGGCGCAGACGCGCTGCGCCTGCGGGCGCCGGCGCACAGGCGTCCTGCGGGAGATCCTACGTCGTCTGGGGACGAGGAAACATCCCCAGGGGACGAGGTATCTTCCCCCGGGGACAACATCGTCTGACGTCCACGTCACCGGCATGCAGGAAAACGAGTGGGACTTTGTCCAAATAACGTTGAAGTTGTATGACTCTTGTGTGGGTCATCCTGACCCAGTTTGGCCGCGCAATAGGGGCGTATGGGAACGCAGCCGTGCACCACCAAACTTGTGCACCAATCAGCCACGCCTAGCATATTTCCAGATGACCACCAATCAGCCGCGGATTAACCCTGACGTCAGTAACCAGCCCGTGACATCATCTTGCTTTAAATATTAGGAGCTTTACGCCACATCATTCTGAAGCGAATAGCCCATAGAGTAATTGCTGTCCACCACTGAACGTTGCATCAAATCATCACTTCATACCCTAATTTTATCTCGAACTGTAATTTGTGGACAACGGACTGCGACCAACCAGCCCAGCTCGCCAGGGAACTGCATGCATCCTGCCGTGCACCACCAGACGGGCACTTTTAGCTCACCACATTCGGAGTTAGGATTCAGAAAGCATAGTTCTGTTCCAAAATCTACCGTCCTTCGACGAGTGACTTCCGCAGCTTCGTTAAATTACGTAACATTTAGTTCACAGTATCTAGGGTTAGGTTTCAGATAGCATAGTTCTGTTCCAAAATCTATCGTCCTTCGACGAGTGACTTCTGTAGCTTCGTTAAATTACGAACTTTTAGCTCACAACATCTGGGCTTAGGTTTCAGAAAGCATAGTTTTGTTCCAAAATCTATCGTTCGCCAACGAGGAACTTCGGAAGCTCCGTTAAATTACGTATCTTTTAGCTCACAGCATCTGGGGTTGGGTTTCAGATAGCATAGTTCTGTTCCAAAACGAATCGTCCGCGTGGCTGTTCGAATGTAGGATGATTCGGGTCGCCTGCCGAAGACCACCACTGCCCTGGATGTAATGGGCCATCGTGATTCCTGCCTTCCGGAACGTAGCCTTCAACACTTCAAGCCGTCCGTATCTAGGCCGTGGGTTGAACCAGCCCTCGGTCGAACGGCCACTTGTCGAAGGACTATAAATTTTGGAACAGAACTATGCTATCTGAAACCAAACCTCAGATGCGGCGTACGTAAAATTACGTAATTTAACGATGCCGGGAAGTCAGATTCGATCCGCGGCCTGGTGGTGCACGGCAGGTTCTATGCGAGGCCGGAGGAAGACAAAGCCGAATGGTTCACGGCTGATTGGTGGATGTCCGGAGAGATCCAAGGCGTTCGATTCAGGGCTTATTGGTGCACGAAATTGGTGGTGCACGGCTGCGGTCCCGGATGATTCGACACACGGGACAGAAACGGACAGCTCCAGCGCGCTCCGTCCGGGAGGGGTAACATTTTTTTCGCGTATCAGCAGACGATACTGGGTTACTTTCCTGTAGGCTGATTGATCTAATTCAATGGATGTGATCTGTCTGGTGGCGTGCGGCTGATAATGTTACGGTCCAGAAGTATTATAGGCTACGTTCTTGAGGAAAGGGATCATGATAGTCCATTCGAAGCACGGCAGTGGTGGTCTCCGACAGGCGTCCCGGGGCGTATCAGTGCTACGTACAAATAGTGCGTCACTTTTTGGACAATGCGACACATTAACTTTTCTGAGAGTAAATTTTAGTTGTTTAACTCCACATAGGAGAATGTTTTCATTCTACCAATTCAGAAAAATAGATGTGCAATATTGTACAAACAGTGACACTTTCTGACAGACAGTTCGATCAGGGAGGCGACGTAGCATATTAATCGTTTTTAATATACTCTCGTTTGCTGGGCCTAACTGGGATGACCCCCAAAAAAATATAACTCAGCACTCGCTGCAGTGAGTGACAGAGAGCGCATTTTCCCGTCGACGAAAACGTGAAGTCACGGACGGACGGACGGACATGGCGAGCACAATAGTGCATTTTTTCCATAAATGAGAAAATGCGCTAAAAAGCATCGCTTTTAGGACAAAGAAGGACATTTCTGTTATCGATGCAGCATTTGCCGCTTGAATTCACTCAGTACCTGTAGTTTATAAATAATTGAAATGTTCTCATTGTTGTTGATTATTCTTAAATTAGGTTGTGAATGTTTAATAACAGTTTACTTATATAAATTTCATCATCGATGTTCATGGCGAAAAAATGAGGCACTTCTCAATGTGGAATAGGAAGCTGATGCGCGAAGGGATAAATAAATGATGACAATGAGCAAATAAATGATGAGGGTAAGCAGATAAATGATGAGGGTGAGCAGATAAATGATGAGGGTGAGCAGATAAATGATGAGGGTGAGCAGATAAATGATGAGAGTAAGCAGATAAATGATGAGGGTGAGCTGATAAATGATGAGGGCGAGCAGATAAATGATGAGGGTGAGCAGACTAATGATGAGGGTGAGCAGATAAAGCGCTTGGTTAGCTCATAAGATGAAGGCTCAACTGTAAGGTTAAGTGATGCAGGTACAGGTTAACCGCTTGCCATGTTTGTGATATAATTAACCGTCTAGCAAGACGGTCAAGCGTCCGGTGATGTGTCGCGTCTGTTGTACATAACCTACTGAGATTATATATATAGAACTTTGTATCGAGATTATATATTAAATATTTTGACGGTTCTTTGCTATCATTTCTCATCTCGAGGAAATGCATTTTTTTGCGCTCATTTTGTACAGTTTGCGTAAATTGTTCACATTAATAATTGTCATTCGAGCGATGCATGCGAACAATCCTTTCCTATGAAGGATATCGAATGCATTTCCCATTTCTTTTTTTTAGCCATGGACGTTTTTCAGAACGTTTTGAATCCACAAATGAAAGAAAAAAAACACAAGAGCATTCAACTAGGAACGAAGGAATCTATCAAGTTATTGGTTATTTACTCAAACTTTTCCGCTATCTTGACTTCAGAGCCTCGAACTTAACCAAACTTTTGTGTGTTGAAATTAGACGAAGTAACGTACGCCGAGAAATGTGGGGGTCATTGTCTAAATATTGACACACTTTCTTGGTCACACCAAGTGCAGTGTGGGAACGTAGCACTGATAAGATTTTTGCTGGGCAAAACTAGGCAAGAGTGACCTACTCAAGAGCAAAAACTGCATCAATATGTGGACTAAGGGTACGCACACAGTGAAAGCAGGTTTGCCCGCGCGGGCAACCTGCTCCAACCTGCCACAAGAATGAACATAGGATAATAATGGAAGTGTTCACAGTGAAAACCTGTATGAATAGGCTTCTGTATTCTATGGTTTCAGGCGCCAGCCTGAGCAGGTAACCAGCACGCTGGCAACCTGCTTTCACTGTGTGCGTACCCTAAGCCTCATTTATTTCCACGAGTGTATGTATAGTTCCAGTCAGAAAATAGACCTATAGAAAATGTACGATAATTGAACGAGTATACAGTTTATATGACATGATATATGATATTTGTGTACAAGATAAAGCTTATGATATATCAATACAAACTGCAATCAAAAGCTGAATTTTATTCCGCATCAGTCAAAAAAATTTCGCAATAGAATTTTGGCTAGAAATAAAATAGAATTCGACAGAATTCAAACCAGGAATAAGTTGCAAATTAAGTAAGCAGTTGCTGGCATAGCGGAGCTAAATTCTGCTGCACCTTCACAAGACCGTTCAATTGTTGTACATTTGCGACTTGTTTATTTAGCTACAACTAAACAATTTAGTTAATTAAACTACAAGAACAATTAAAACAATCTTCTTACGGAGTCACAAGTTTCTTCTGCCGCTCACTTTCAAGTTCAAAGACACAAACTTTTGCAGACAGGATTTAAACGCCAGAATGGCAGGATTCAGATGCCGGAATGAGAGACTGAGTGTACACACACTGGGATTGCAAGCACTGTAAAAGTTGCTCAGCTAGCAACACAACATGCATTCAATTTATTTTTTACGAACAAAATCGTAAACAACGCTCATGGTGACTTGAACGCATATAATATTTTACGTGTAATCAGCACTTTGAATATTCATTTAAATGTACGGTACCCCAATTGCGATGACAAGGTAGGGATCCCAAAGAACATTATTCTTAATCTCAGAGTAGACATACACTCCACAGAGTCTGCCCATGTAAGTTACTTCAGTGACCATAACAGAATAGGAAGTTTAACTTGGTAGCGGGGCTTCTGAAAAACGAGGTGCGAGGTGAAGTTTAATGGAAAATGAGACTGGTCAATAAGATAAATAACAATGATCGGCTTCAGAAATTCTGACCTACGAAGTCTGCACCGGAGACACGTAAAATAAGTCAAGTAGAAAATGACATATAACAAAGACAATGGAGACTTACTGAATACGTATAGAATGACATATAAGAACAAGTTTTTCATTTGATAAAAAGAATGCGAGGCAACTAAATACTGTTGCTCCTAATAACCACACATGGCTTCGAAATCAGAGTACGCTTCTTGGAATTGTTCTGCCGACACCGGCAGGTCTGGAAAAGTTAAACGAGTGAAGCTAAGAATTGCCTCGGCCGTCCGCGGCAACGAACCATTCGACCTCAGGAACTCTCTGGCCATGAGGCACAGGTCCAGGGATAAGATAAGTTCATCGTGCAGATGCACGCCATCAGTGAACTCCTTGTAAAAATATCGTAAGCCACAATGCCGGCATTTGCGGTAAAGAAGCTCTATTCCCGTCACGACTGTCTTGGGGTCGAGGAGGCAGGCGTTGTTAGAATATAAGACTTTCCTCCCCAGGGGGAGGCGACAGTAAACACACGACACCTCCGACGGCCCCAGGTAGTTCAGTTGACTCAACTCCTGTTCCCCCTTGAGCAGCAATCTGCGGTCTATCTCTGGCGCGTATTTCTTCACGGTTAATTGGTAATGTTTTTCCCGCTCACTCAAAAAGATACACTTTACTTCACGTTCCATTTTACCGTCGTAAGTTTCGTTGGCTTGGTTTGGTGGTTCATTGTAAGTGCAGGGCTGACAATCCGAACCTAGGACCTGCTTCTCCTCCTCTGAACCTAGGACTTCTTCTTCAGACTTCAATATTTTCCGAGGTCTTCTCCTGCTGGGGCTGTGAAGGTGGTGGCTTTTTTCAGTGACTTGTTCATTTCCCACAACAAGCGCTGAGTTAGAATGCATTGAATAATTTCCTGATTCATCCGAGTTTGGAGGAATGGTTGAGGGTTGTAAGGATGACTTGCCAGGAGAGTTGGACCGCCTCTTGACTCTCTTGGCCCCAGGGACTGTGGCGTCACAATGGCGTCTCTTGGGAGTTGCAGCATCCTCAGGTTCATCAACGCCAGGCCGCTCGTCAACAGGATGTTCACCATTATGGTGTTCGCATTCAGAATGACCGTCATCAGGATACACACCATTAGGATAGCCGCTATCTGGATACCCGCCATCAGGATAACCACCATTAGGATAGCCGCCATCAGGATGCTCGTCATTGGGATGCCCGCCATCAGGATGCTCGTCATTGGGTTGCCCGCCATCAGGATACCCGCCATCAGGATGCTCGTCATTGGGTTGCCCGCCATCAGGATACCCGCCATCTGGATGCCCGCCAACAGGATACACACCATCAGGATACCCGCCATCTGGATGCCCGCCATCAGGATACCCACCATCAGGATACCCACTATCTGGATACCCATCATCTGGATGGCCACTATCAGGATAGCCGCCATCATGATGCTCACCGTCATTATAAGCTTTAATACAACTGAGAGGTTTCATGAAGGGCTCCATGAGCGGCGTGTGTCTCAGACCGCCCTCGTGGGAGGCTAGTCTGCGGCTGAGCTGCGGCGACAGGTTGACCTGCTGCACCTCGGCGTTGTAGCTCCACAGCTTCTTGCCAGCACAAGCTCGTAGAGGGCGGATCTTTATAAGTGTGGGCTGCACCGCGGCATCTGCTTCACTTTCTGATTCCTCATCTTCCTCATCGAGATAACTGACAGGAGACAAGGAAGCCTCACTTTCTCCACACTCCACGTCAACTTCTTCACTTCCTCTGCACATCTCGTCATCTTCTTCGCCTCTGCCCTGTCCATCAACATGATTTACTTGGTCCTCTAGGCCCAGAGACTTGGCTTTCTTGACGTGGGTGCAGATGTGAATTTTATACCTCACAGCTCCCCCCACAATGACGGCATTGCAGAGCCAGCAATGGTAATGTCCAGAGATGCTGGGACGGCACTCGAGCTTGCACAGCACAGAGACCCAGCCTGCAGAGACGATGTGGTGGTTGAGGTGGCACTTGGAGAAGTGCTTCAGGAGGCGGGAGTTGGCTAGCACGGGATGGTCCACACAAAGGTAGCAGCGCGCGTACAGACGCGACATCAACTCCTGCAGGGACCGACCGATTGAAGGTTCAATTGGCACCTGCAACATTGAAGGAAATTTATCTGTTGTCACTCATTAACTAGCCCCTGATTTATTGGCTTCTCTACAGCAGACCCTCTAATGTACGTATCACAACAGTAGCTTCTCTACATCAGTTACATCCGTCTGTACCACGAGCATGCTCCTATACATGCACCATCTACATCAGCGTCATTACAGTAGCTCCGCGACGTGGCCTTTTTTCACATACGTTTCTTCAATTGCTGTTTATTATTAGTTGTCAAAAGGAGCAATTTACAAATAGCTTTCCTATAGCAGCTCTCTCCTATTCAACTTTCTATAGTACCTGGCACTCACCAACGATGTAGGTACATAAGTACTATGTATTGCCTGAAAACATTTACCCATTACCAATCTAACTGGTAAAATAAATCTGGAGTGGTACCTATTAATCAACAATATATCTATGCAGTTTCCCATATTGCCTGCTAAAAAACTGAGATATTTTGAATGTCAGGAATAATTTGGATGAGTGGATGATATCACACACTAGAGTAATGCTATAAAATTCTTGCCCCTAATTGAATAAAAAAATAAGTTGAACAGAAATGGGCAAGAATTTTGAAAGCCACATGGGCATTCAGGATCAAGTTTTGTTTAGTCCTTATTGGGAGTAGACATCCAAGGTTAATGTCTTCATAAAAAGGATATTAAAATTTGGCTAGACACTACTTCTGTCTCAGCAAAAGCATTCACAAAATTTGATGCTATTCCTTCTTTTGGAGTCATCTTACTCACAATGTTGAGAGCAGCGGCATGTGAGGCAAGGTAGTCCTCAGCTTCTTGAAATCTGAGTTCAATTTTTTCCAATTTCTTCTGATTTTCTTCATCAGGATTTTTAAGTTTTTCATTGATGCTGATATCTGATTTCCTCTTGCGCTTCTTGAGCTGCACCTTCCTGGCAGTGAATGAGACCACTTCGTCCTCCTTCACTTTATTCCTGCCATGTTTTTCCATGTGTACCCTCAACCTGCCAATAGAAGAGCACCTCGCATTGCACAGCGAGCAATGGTAGTGACCAAAGCGCTCTGAGTTCTGGGGTAAGTTGCAGTCTAGTTTACAAAGAACAGTGCAAAGCCCATGGGCATCCACCCTGTGGTTCCAGTGGCACTGCAAGAAATGTCGCTTAAGTTTAGATGGATTCTGGAAGTCAATGCCTTCACAAAGAAAGCAGAATTTGCCATCCACATCCAATCGTTCCAAGAATTCATCCAAAGAAGAGGCTACGGAAATAAGTGGAGTCACAATGCGGGCAGTTTCATCCAACAAATCCACCTGAAATGGAGGGAGAGATTCAGGCATCAACAGAACAAGCAGCCAAGTTCCCTTCTAGAGCAGAGAACAGAAGCTTTTTGGATAACAACGATCAAGGGAGTATGAATAGAGCAGAAGGTACCTATATATAATTGTAGCCATTTAGTCAGGTCTTGTCTGCCTTTGACATGATCTATTGACAAGAAATTGGAATTGGCAAAGAAAATTACTACACATGAGGGACAGCATATGCCACAAGGTTGCTCACTTCTGCAGATTCCTTCTTCTCTGGAGTTCCAAGCACAGTTTCTACCCAGGATTGTGGTGGGCCTGAAATATCAATTAAAATGCAAACACAAATAAACCCAAGAATTTTAAAAGAGACAAATGACAGGAAAAGTAACAATATTTTAATATTGTTACTGAAAAATTAAACACAATGACAATGAAGATGGTCTCCCAAAAAGTTTTAGTAGCAATTATGTTTTTTTTTTTCTTTTCATTTATATTCTAAAGTGATGGAAATGTTTTATACTTCAAATAACTTGCAACAAACTTTATTATACTCATTATTCCTGGTCTTGTAGTTTAGCAACTGATAATGAATAATACACAATACATCTTCAAACACACCTGAATGTTGCAACCCTTTGCTGGTCTTGCCATCACCATCTTGCCTTTGCTGCTTCACACCAATGCAGTCTTTAACAGAGACTAGAACTACATTTTTGGGCTGGGTGTGACTCATGAGGTCTGTGGAATGTGTACCTTTTACATAAATGTCAACTGCAATAAATCTTCAGTAGGAACTATCTGAAAAAGATAGTTTTAATTAAAATTATTAATTTACAAGTAAGTTTTGGAAATAGCAAGCAAAATTCAACAATTTTCTTACTTGTCTTGAAAAAATTAGGCAAGGAACATAAAAATGAGTGAAATTGACTGTAAGCATAGACAATTTTGCCTCATTCACATGCAGCTTCTGCCCTATTTCCCAGAATTGTGAGTATGAGCAGATCAGTTCAATCAGAAATACTTCACATTTTGGTCACAATTTGGAAAATGGTTCTTATAACCAGATTGTTGAACAATTCTGCCTAATAAATCTGTAAGAAGCATTTCTCATCATGCAGTGATTAAGGCATCAAATACATCTAGGTACTTTCCAAGCTAAGACTAGAGTAGAGATTTCTAATTCTGATCATTTTCCCCAAGTGATTTTTGAAAGTACAAGATTCCCAGTAGATGCATTATAAATATCCTATTCAATTTGTTAAAAATTATATGATTAAGTCAGAAGATTCTACAGTAATAACTAAATACCGTCAAACAGTGTAAAAAGGGATGGTTTTGAGCGTTTTTTGTTTATAACGTCTTACCATGAAACATTTCATAAACAAGTTTGGGCTCATTTTATAAAGGTCTTTAAAAGGGCTATTGTATGGCATCTCCAAAAAAATTCCATATGCTAGTTGTAAGGAGCTAGACGCAATATAAAAGGCTCCTGAATTAATCTGGAAATGGGGTAAAAAGAGACACTTGAAATAAAACTCAATTTTAAATATTTTAAGCAAGCAGAGTGTACTCATCTATTACTAACAGTACTCTGAAGTCCTCCTCTTCCTTTGTAGATGATGTAACTGTAGAATAAATGACATTTTCTGTGATTTTTACTTGGTTTTTCTTCATTGATATAATATTACCTTATCCATAAATTACCGTATTATTAATGTTATATTACTGTATCCATGGACATGCCATTGAGCATTAACAACGACCTTGTTCACTGCAAGCTTCATATCAGCAGCCATGAAGCATTTCTTCTGTATCTGTAAGTTTACAGGATGGTTTGTAGTTTCACACAATTTTAATTGAATCAAGTGATTTCACTATAACAAAAAAGATTGTAAAAAACATACCTAAACCAGGAAGGAATATTTTAGTGACAACCATCATATTTTTTGGAGAAATAAATCATAGTTTAGGTTAAATACTTCTCATTCTTTGTTGCCCAGTGCTCAATTCTATCTGTGACATTCTATGCACAATTTTGTGATGACTGATTAGACTCCTGCGTCTCGAAATAATTTTCTCAAAATGAACCCGGACAGACGAAACAAGACGAGAAAATACCAGAAAAAATAACGGGACAGAGGGTAAAATTTGTCCCGGAATAAACGTATGAACCGAGACAAGACTTCTGTCCTGGACTTTAAAACTTGTGTCCCGGTAGATTATGAACCGGAACAAGACAGACAGATTTGAAACGAGACATAATGAGATTTGTCTTCATTATTTAAGACAAAACAAGTTTTTCGATTACGATATGAATCATTTCGAAAACATGGGTTGAAGAATGACAAGTTAGCCCTTTATTGCTAATATGGCCATAGACAGTTACCAGTGAACTTAATTGCAGATTTAGCAAAATTTGTCTGACTAACTGACATGGCAGTTAATTAGTGCTCCGACAAACACCGCAAACCTGTCGAGGTATGCATGGCTGAGCATTGAGTCAAAAATGTTACTCTTAAGTCTTAACTAAGGCTTTGATGGCACTTGTGGGAACCGTACGAATATGAGTCGAGTTTATTATGCGTTCGGAACGAGTTCAGCCGCCGTGGAGCGCATAGGGACGCAGTGTCTAGAATAGTCGGCCAATTAGTAGACAGTGGAGTGGAGTCCTGGTAAGATATTCCAAATAATACTATAGCTAGTACTAGATTATCTCTGACTTTAGTAAAATTTTGTGCTACACCTCCAAGAAATTTTCACAATTGCACAATTTCCTGAATTTTTATCAAACACTTGGGTATTTTTAACGTTATTTAGAAAGGATACACATGGATATTTTGAGTTCTTTTTTGAAGATCAAACTGTTAAATTTTTTCCAACTTAAATTTTGTTGCATTTAAAAATGTTGTTGATATTTCTTTTCAAACTTTTTGTTGAAAGAGATTGCTTAAGGCAAGATTGATGAATCCGATTCTGTGATTGAGCTGGAGGCAAATCAAAGTCTGTCCAGTCAGCCAATGTCACCAGCTACAGCTAGTATGGACTCCTCCAAACCATCATAGAACACAATTTTTGAAAAAACACGTGTTTTTCAATTTTTATTTGCCTGTCAAGATTAAGTACCATATTCAACCACAACATGTATTCATAGCAAAAATCATTTCAATCGCCGAGCTCCAATCAGAATAGTAAAAAGATACATCTTAAGTTATTATATAACTGCAGAGGTGGGCAGTAGCGCGCTACATGTACTGGTAGCGGCGCTACATTTAAACAATTGTAGCGGTAGCGCCCGCTAGATATTTAAGAAGCGATACGAGGTTTTGCCTCTACAGCGCTACCGCTACATTTATAGATAAAGCCTTTAGATTTTACTTAATAGTATTAAATATTATTTAAAAACCAGCATGATACATACATAATATAAATTACAGAATAAATCTGTACGAAAGTTTTCGGTGTAGTGTTGTCAACCTCAGCCTGTTACTAGTGTCAACATGTTAGTTGTTAGCAGAGGTGGGCAGTAGCGTTCTACATGTAGCGGCCGCTACATTTTTGGTAGCAGTAGCGGCGCTACATTTAAGCAATTGTAGCGGTAGCGCTCGCTACATTTAGAGCATGTAGTGGTAGCGGCCGCTACATTACAAAGTAGCGCTGCCCAGCTCTTTATAAATGTATGATGGTAAGCCAAAGTTTACACCACACCAATAATTGATTCATCTCGTTATGTCTCGTTAAAATGGCTAAAAATTCTGGGAAATTTTAATGTACCTCTTTTAACCGGGATGTCTCGTCTCATCTCGGTATTGTCCCCGAAATTCCTATGGAGGGCTGAAAATTGTCCCGGTTTTTATTGCGAACCAGGACAGAGCCTGTTGTCTTGTCTCATCTCGAATAAAAAAATACCAAACGCAGGAGTCTATGACTGATGCAGTAATTTTTTATTAAGCGAAATTTTTTTCACTGAGCGAGGTACATAAATTTAATCAAAATTCTTTGTTGTGAATTGATTTTTTTCATTAACTGGAGCCTTTGCTAATCAAGGTTCTACGGTAAATGCAATTTTATAAGTGTCCCTTATTACCCCAGGGAGGTGTCCCTTATTATCCCATTTTACGGAAATGGCCACCATTTTTTCTTGGAATGAGATATGCAAATTTTGTCAATCATGCTTTTAAGCCAACACTAGTGTGCAACTTTCAGGTAAGTAAAATTTTTCAACACAACAAATATTTTTTCTGCTACAGACCTTAGCAGAGGTACTCTTCCAAAATCTCACTTTTCACACTTTTTTCAGGGATTTTCAAAGGTAATAAATGTATGATATCTCAACTTGCTTTATGCTGCATAGATAGTTAAAAATGTTCAACTTTACACCACTATTTTTAGTTTTGCAATATTTTACTAGTTTAGCTGCTACAACATTTCTACAAAATGTTGGAGGACTGTCCCTTATTACCCTGCCCATCCCTTTTTACCCCTTAACACGTTCCCCGCGTATTGGGCCATATGTGTACCAACAGTGATATTCCACTGCTGCGTATTGGGACACCAGTGTACCAAACGCAGTATTTTACACCGTTTTGAAAAAACATGTATAACTCGAAATTTTGCACTTAAACTTTCTCTTTTATAATATTAATGTTCACTCAAAAAGTGGATTTTTAAGTAAAACAAATCAATGGACCAAAATTTTATTTGTAAATCTCCTTGAACAAACGATAAGTAATTGTAAAAATTCTAACTAATAATTCCCTTCTGTTCCCATCTATTCCCATCTATTCTTATCTATTCCCATCAATTCCCATCTGTTCCCTTTTATTCCCTTCTTTTCCCTTCTGTTCCCTCCAATTCCCTGTTATTTCCTTCTATTCCCTTCTGTTCCCTCCTATTCCCTTCTTTTCCCTTCTGTTCCCTTCTATTCCTTTCTATTCCCTTCTGTTCCTTTCCATTTCCTTCTATTCCCTTCCATTCCCTTCTATTCCCTTATATTTCCTTCTATTCCCTTGTATTCTCTTCTGTTCCCTTCTATTCTATTATGGTACATATATGGCTCAATAAATACTTGGTACACCGGTGGTACAATACGCAAGAACAACATGTGGTTATTATTTGCTTGCGTAATGTACCACATGTGTCCAAACATTTTTATTGCAGCTATGCAAAGCTATGATACCACAGAGCTGCAAACACCTCCTCTTGTCACGGCCAACGGCGCCGAACTGAAGCAGCAACCACTGAAAGCCTTCCGCAATAAGGGAATACTGGGGAAATCTGGATACGCGGAGAACGTGTTAAAGAGTAACTGACTTAAGCTTGCGTTCCGAGTTCTGCCTGTTGGTTGGTCTTGGAATTATTTTTAATTGAACGTCCTATTGTTTTTAACACGTAGAAATGTATAAAAATACACAGATAAAAATGACTGCCGATGCAGTTGCACTAGTTGCTACTACTTGGTATTAGCAAGTAGGCATATACTTAAAGCATTGTACCAATGTCTTCATCAGTGTTACTATGCAGTTATTAGTAAAAGATTTTACCATATATTTTTTAATTTAGATTATTCGAGAATTTTGACTTATATCTGACGTAAAATAGGGTAAATTTGTCATCAACATTTTTGCTATTTTTTTCTCAATTTTTTAAGCTATGTATGAATACATATGTATGCATTTTCTTTAATTTATTGCAAAAAATTGACAATTGTCCCTGGTCTCAGCAAAACCAACAGACAAAAAATAAGACGGCAGTTGGCTGCTGACCAATCAGCGCCCACTTGGCAAATCAGCTGGGTTTGTTT